ATCAATATATTTAAAATAAATACACTAGATGGCTGAATTGGCTTTGTCAGCTCTGCTATGCTCCTATAGTGTGAGCGGAAATTGGTGGAACGGTGAACCTTGCCCTTGTTGATCGTTGTTTAAATGATGACGGTGGCACAACTGTACTATATTTACTGTGGAACATACCCACCTCCTACCACCTATTCACTAAGATGTCTTGCACCCACCTAAGACTGAAAAATCTTTTTGACCAACAGGAGTCAAAATGACTACAAATTGGAACATAAAAAAGCACCAAGACCCACTGTGAGCAACACAGAAGTCACTGTGTATCCAGACAGGGAGCTGAGGGAACCACAGGCACTGTGAGCAGCTCACAGCATGTAAAGAGCCTCACACTCTCCTCCGTACATGAGAGAACCTGGACTAAGGCCTTATTCAGAAACCAAGCAAGATCACATCCAGCATAATCCAATGCACATAGTAATGCAACTGAATACTGCCACAAACCTGTACATTGCAAATCAGACACATTTACGCTAAAAACACAAGCCTGCTTTTTTGCCTGGTATTTTAAAAAGACTTTGAGAAAACACGATTGCAATTCAAGCTGACTCATGTCCTTTAGACCACGGTAGAAAGATAAAAACCCAGCATGGTAATTCCCATGTCTTTTTTTGTGGGAAAACATAATCTAGTCACACATCAGTGATTTAATTTCTAAACTGGGATTTAAGTGTCCTTCCCAGATAGAACTTCTTGAAGTAGTTTCTTTTAACAGAAATCAGGCAATAACACAACAGCTGAGAAGAAACTAAATTCTGCCCGAAAGGTAGAAAACTGTCTCCCATCAACAAATGATTTAAAAAAGTAATGAAAGCTTCCACGGCTTATGCGCAGAAGTGGCAGTGTGGTGTGGTGGAGAAGGGCTGCTCTGTAGCCGAGACCTGAGGGAGACTGTCCGACTAATCCCACCCTACACTTGGCAACCATTTTTACACTGTTATTTTACACTGTAAGCAGTGCTTTGTATGGGGTACTTTGCTGTTTGTTAGATGCCGTATTATGTGAGTAAATGTGATGGCGTGTCCATTAAATACAACCACTTAAGATGCTTCTTTTAAAAGCGAAGTGAAAAGTGCTGCACTGTAGCGCAAAGGCTGTGTGAATGGAAATTATTCAAGTCTGCAGCTCGGCTCTCTATGTGCAGCTCAATTCTCTCTGCTGCAGGGGACACGGTCATCATAGAGATGGGAGTAAAACACAGGGAGCAGGAAAAGGAAGTCACTTCTTAAGGTCATTATAAATCAGTTAAAAGCTTTTCAATCCAGTCAGAATAAGGTGAGCATTGAAACACATCTGTTAACTCGCTCAATATCTGTGTTGCAGCTGTCACGGACAGTGGTGAGAAAGATACATGAGCTTAAGTTTGTGTTGCAGAACGTCTGGGTCTGGCTTTTACTGAAGCTTATTTATTATTCTTAATTTATATTATGCTTAATTATTCTTATTAAACTCAGATCTAATTTATTACCTGTTTTTAAGACAATGATGACAACACGAGATGTTTAGGAACCGTTTAGGAACTAACAGCTGCCTTTAGATATAGATAATTTTGTTTACTGAATTGCTTACAATAGTTTAAATTTTAATTAACAGTGTTTAGTTAAGTAATTTATTGATTTATTATTATAGTTAAACTACAGGGAAAATTTAACAGCCAACTCATTTTACTTTTGATGCTGCAGTACATTGGGTGTTGCTATGTACATTGTAAGCTGTTTAGCAAAAAAGCACTGGAAAGAAGTATATTTACTGCAGTATTTTGGAGTACAGAATGATTTTCCCTAGCAGAACCTCCCAGGTATGCACAGCATACAATGTGCATATATACCCTTCAGGATATATATAAAACATACACTATAAAACAAACAAAATAAACTGTTAAAAATAAATACACAGAAAAAGAATTACTGCAGATGTTGGTAAACAGCTCACCTATTAAAAATGCCTAAACTAATTAAAATACAGCTGACGATTTATGTACTTGCAGTAAATGAGCATCAATTAGTTCCATTTGCTTGCAGTTACCTTGGGGAATGAACAAACATTTTTGCTGAAAGTAACACTCCTAATTACTGGATTTTAGTGACAGAAAGCAGAGCAGCAGAGCTCATGCAGTGGAACAAATATGTAGAAGTCATTGATGGTAAATGACTGCAGAGTACCTTCACAAACAGCTACAGGCTTTTCCCTGCGTCTTGCATCATCTTCTTTTGTTTACTGACTCAGTGTTTCTTCACAGTGACAAGCCCACCACTAAAACCCAATGCTCATCCGTGCATCAAGAGGCCTGTTTGTTGAAAACTATAGTAGCATAGCAGTATAATATATACAATTATTGAAGCACACCACCTCCTTGTTTGGAGGTGTTAGATTACGTTGACTATGTCATGATACCCATACACAAAACTGTGTAACCACCTTCTTGCTCTATTAGGGTGCAACATTAATCTGCTACATTAAAATCAAAGACAAAATTGTATCCATCTACTGTATTTTCTAATTCTTTCATCCAGTACAGAGTCACGGTTATAGCCAAAGCCTAACACGGAAAGCAACGGGGCAAGGCAGGATACACCCTGGATGGGACACCGGCCCACAGCAGGGCAGACAAACATGTACACACTCACACCAGGAACACATTTCCAAGAACCTTATTAACCTAACTGCATGTCTTTGGACTGTGGGATGAAACTGGAGCATCTGGAGGAAACCCATGCGCACATGGGGAACATACAAACTCAACCCAGGTCTGGAATTGAACCCAGGGCCCCAGCGCTCTGAGGCAGCAATGTGCTACCTTGCCTCCCACAAAATTATATTTCCAGAGTTTAGAAAGTAATACAGTACATTATTCTGAGACCAATGTAGGTATTTAAACAAACTGGATTTAATGTAAATACTGTACTTAATATATTCAAATTATACTGAAAGGCTAAGAATAAGAGTACAAAATTCCTTACTACACTATATTTGCTTTTTGAACCATGTATATTAACTTAAAGTTCACAAAGAAAGAATAAAAGTTCTTGGAACAGTACAATACAATAGTCCCCTTCCATCATTGATGGTACTCTCTCAAAGTTTCTGCTCAAAGGAAGACTGAAGCAGCACTACATAGCTAAAACAGAGCAACTGTGCAGGAGCCTCCTCCAGTGTTATAGATCTATAGATTTTTATTAAGAGAGGAGGCCTTAATGAAGCCAGGAGGGATTAATAAAGACAGGAAATTATATCAGGAAAGGAAACAATATCAAGACAAGAGGCATTAATAAAGACAGGAGACAATATCTACTGAGATGCAAATAAAAACTATAAGGTGTAACTAGAAATTACTAAACAAAATTATGCAACTTTTTATTCCAATTAAGGTAAGGAATGCAATGCCCCTTTTTTTACTATGTGTAAACTATACAATTTAATTCTCTTGAATTTTGCTTCACGGTTTATCCATCTCATAGCTCATTCAACAAATTTCCCTCTGCAATTTCCCTCATGGAATCAATAAAGTCTCTATCTATCTAATTTTAAAGACACAAGAAACACCTACGTTTTTAGACTAATTGGATACCAGATCACTCGGTTTCAGCTGCTCTTGTACAGACACCTTTTGCTTTGACATGATTGTTCTGCACTAACCTTCTCTTTAACTGCCAAACATTCCTAATTCAGAGGATTGGTGAGCTGCATCCTTAGTCAATACAAATGCCTTTGGAGAGTGGGGGCAACTGTACTACTGCTGCAAACCAACACCCATAGGTGTACATGTTCCAGCAAGACAATGCATGACCACACAATACTGGAACTACAATGGCGTGATCTCAAAATACACTTTTGACTGTGTGTCATGTTTCATACTCACAACATGACTCTGGATTTTTGTTTGCATTTTCTGTGGTCTTGTTTTATATCTATGTTTAAAATAGTCCTAAGTAAACATTTTGTTATCAAGCCTCCAAATACTAGAAAAACAGGGTGTGGTTTAATCAAATATGCCGGCTAATGAAATGTTACTCCAGTATGTTACATGTAAATATGTAATATGTGTATATTTAACCTAAGATAAAACTTTAGAAGTGCTTTAAAATATTGTTTGCGTATTCACCACTCACATGCAGACCACATGAACCTGCTTGTAGAGAGGCAGGAGTGGAGAACTGTACCGCTATCATCTAATGATAATGATTTATCTTATAGGTACATGTACTATTCACTATTCTGGAGTCTAACCCAAAATTTACTTTTCAGTGACTCATCGACAATTCTGGTTTATGCAAAGCAATTTTGGAACCATTTTCTCTCCTTAGAATTCACCACAAACTTAAGAAGATCTGCTTTTGGTGCCGTAAAACCAAATTGCCATTAGTGCAGGATAACCAGAGGTAAAGGCAAACATCACCAAATCCTTTCGACCCTTTAGACCTACATGTTGAATTTCTTCTGGCCATCAGTATATATGCTTACACACTCATCTGTAAAATATGCCGTCACAGACATCATCGTCATGTGCCTTTTCCGTGTGGGTGAACAATGTACCCACCTTCGCACTGGCTGCAATCTCCTGCAGACCCTTGTCAGCAGCGTCCCGGATGATGGGAGTGATGAGTCCCCGCTCTGTTGCCACGGCTATGGAAATGTGGATGGTGTCCAGAGCCTTTGGCCCTTCTGCACTCCATGTCACATTCACTTCTGGCATCTCCTGCAAAACAGTGAGCGATGAGAGGGGGGTGTGGAATCAGCATAATGCAGTCATCACCATGATTGAGCGGGGATGGTGCTGATGGAATGATGAATGATCACAATGTCGGATTTGTGTCAGACATCGTACTTCATTTCAGATCTGTACAAGCAGAGTGACAGGGATATTGGTAACCCTTGGACATCTTCTCCCATCTCAGCCACTGAGCTCCATAACTCTTTTAAAGTCGCCACTGGCCTCATGGCGGCATGCATCCCAGACCTGTTTTGTTTCCTCCAGATGTGGCTGTATAGTTTTGAGGTACAGCCTGATATAGGCAGTGTCTTCCTTCCTTTTCATAATGACTGACTTCACCACTCTCCAAGAGATACCAAGGATCTTTGAAGTGCTGTATACCATTCCCCTTTCCAGGGATATGTGAATTAAATCTCAACTTATGTGAACCACTATTATAGCAGGCAGATGCCACTATGCGTGGCCACTGTGTGGTTTGTTAAGGTAATTGTGTGCACCTACTAATTAAGATTTGTCACAGCAAAGGGGCTGAACACTTATGCAATTATAAAGTTTCCATTTTTATTTCATATTAATTATCCATTTGTTTCTTATTTTTGATTTTTGCTTTGAATGTACAGAGCAGGTTGTGTGAATAAATGTGAATAGCTATGTAAAGGTGTCTTGACAAAATTTTAAAGCAACAAAAATTGAAAATTGTGATAGGGTCTGAATAATTTTGCAAGGCACTGAATATCCTAAAAGCGTACATATTTCATTATTATAACAGTTAAACACTCAATTTCAAATATATTTCAGTCTTAAACTGACATATATAGTTCATTGTGTAAGTATATACTACTCCTGTCAATAATATCACATTCTGATTAAGTAGAGCATACTTTTTAAAATGAAGATTTCATATCTTTAAACTGTTATGACCAGACTGAACACTGTTTTATGCAAAGGAGGATGAACAGAGGGCAAAATGTGAAACAAGCTATATAAACAGAAATTTGCCGTTTGTATAAGTATTTAGCCCTCTAAGTCAGTACATGCTGCACCACTGACGACAATAGCAATTACTATTGCCAGTGTTTTTGCACAGGTCTCTACCTGCTTTGTACAGTAGGGTGGTGTAAGTCTGCCAATTCGTCCCGACAAAATTGCTCAAGTTCTAACAAGCACGTAGGAGATAGTTGTATTGCAATCATCAAACCTTGCCATACATTTCTTATTCATTTCAAGTCTGGACCTTCACCTTACCCTTCTGCTACATGCAGTATATCCCCCTTGCGATTTTTCAGCAAAGGCTTTCATTCTTGTTGCTCACCCCTACAGGTCAGCTTTGTTTAGAGAGTGGGATGGTCTGGATGAATGAAAAGTGACTCATCCATTTATCCTCTGACTGCTTTATCCAGTACAGGGTCACAGGGGCCTATCCCAGCAAGCAATGCAAAGCAAGTGCGATACAACCTGGATCGGGTGCCAGTCCATCACAGGGCACACACACACAACAGGGCCAGTTTTCCCAGAAGCCAATTAACCGACCAATATGTTTTTGGACTGCAGGAGGAAACTTAAGCACCCAGGGAAACCCCCAGGAACATGAGGAGAACTCACAAACTCTAGGCAGATAGCACCACGAGTCCAGAGTTGAATCCAGGGCACCCAACGCTGATAAGCACATCACCATCCTGCTTCCATGAATCCCATCTCAGACTTGGCAAATCTTTCAGTTGACTTTGCAATGGTATCTCTAGCCATGTTATTTCCTGGGGGTGCAGCCTTACGTAGGTAGTGTTTGGGTGCTATGAGACATTGAACTTGCACTTGTTAATTACAGGCTTCACTGCATTCAGAGGGATATGGAACCCTGTAGCTCGGAGCCTCTCTTCCATTTCATCACTGATTCTCTCTGTTTGAAAGCTCTCACGTCTTCATGGTCGATTTTTAACTATATGACTATAGTCTACAATAGACTAGTCTATTTTTAACTATATGACTATAGTTATAGTTGACTATAGTAAACTATTCAATTTATATGAAATGTCTAAATGAATATATTTTTAAATTGATTTACATTTTCCATGTGACTTTAAAAAATTAGATTTATATATAAATATTCAGGAAATACATTAATTAATTTAATGGAAGAATTATATTTTCATATAATCTATTTATAAAAATATAGGTTGTTGAGCACTAATATGAATGCACCTTGTCATATTTAACGAGGGTTTAAAGGAAAATGCACTTCTTCGAAACCAAATGATAAAATACAAAACAAAAAAAGAGCACAGAATTTTGTAAGATAATTCAATGTCCATTTAGTCAATAACTCTTCCTTGTATTTTAAATGTTCTTTATTTCAGTACACAGATACATGATAAGCAAGCTGTTAACTGTGTGTTGTCATGGTAATAAACTGCTTATGTGCAAATGGTTGAGCAACACGAATAACAATAAAATACCCTCGTCTTCAATTCACAAACATATCTTGTAGATTGAATGTTAAAGATCTTTACCATTAATTACAAGTCAAAAGACAAGCTGGAATTGTGCTTAATGAAGTTAAAATAATATAGATTAAACACAGGCCCGATCTGTTCTACTGTCGCAGCACACTGGCTGTCATGCTCTCCAACCATGGATACTGGCAATGGGACAATGAGAGGTAATTTTGCCACTTGTGTTCCTCTGTGTTCAGGAGTGACTCTTTTAATACCTAGATCATGTATATTGTGATTGCAAAACATACAGCAAAGCTGTGATACTAAAAGAAAATGATCAATCTCCCTGAAATTTCAAACATCAGCTTAAGAGACCTATCAGACACTACGAGCAAACAAAAATTCAGATCAAGCCATCCCAGCTGATCTCGATCATTATCATACTGTCTCGCTGTGGGAATAAATACCTGTTCAGCAGTGCACTTTTTTGAGTTTATATATTTTCAATGAATGTCAAATGCCCCCAGTGGAAAGAAATGAGGCGGACCTTTTTTGCTGTACATCAAAATGTTTCCTGGTAGACAAGACTCTGAGACACAGAAGTTATTCTTTCCTGTATATCTATTAAATTTTCTATCACCCATTAGAAGAAACAAGTAATAACAAAGATGAACATTTTAAAGCAGAAAAGCTGGCGGTCTAACTTTTACAAGATGCATCTACCTAGAAATCTACATGCATGGATGTTGATGAAGCAAGCTCTTTAATGAGAGCATGGAGCAGGCCTGTAATGCTGTTTGATTAAAGCTCATTCCCACTTTTTTTTTAAGAATATGCTGAGAGGCAGTCATTCTCAGAAATGCGCAAGGGTTTCTTTTTAAAGAGCCAGCTCTCACAATGATTTGTATCGCAAAAACTACCTGTATTAGCAAAATTCAGAAGAACCAGGCAAACAAGAGTGGAGGGGGTAGTATAAAATGCGATATTGTTGGACTTTTCAAACTAAACAATGGCTGATGATTCTGTCTACTGTATCAAAATTATATTCCCGAGCCATTACTTTTTGTTTCCTTGGAGATTCACCACTGTCAGCCTTCTTTATTGTATGTCCTCTCATTGACACAGAGCTCATTTGTGTATCTAATGTGAATTAGGCTGAAGAAACCTACCCCAAAACACATGGGGGGGCCTCATGGACAGGTGGTGAAAATCCTTTAAGACCAGACATGCCACTTACTGCATCTTTGTTTAACATATTGGTCTGAGAACAACAGCTCTCATCTGTGCAAGAGTGCCCTTATGGAATGTCCTTCGACCTCTTCTGGTAGAAGAATTTAATAAGCACAAAACAAAGAAGGGCTTTGACTTCCGTTGCCAGACTGTAATTGCTGACTTACCAGTTCAGAGACATGGTCGTCATAATAATAAACATTACACACATAATAAAATGCACTTGTAGGTGTTTCCTCTATCTTTGTTCAGACAATATTCCCCACATGCCACAGACCAAAAAACAAAGAGCATAAAAAGAAAACAGCTTGGAAACAAATCGAGATTAACTTACAATCTTTCCTGTCAAAAGCAATCTGGACACTATCTAGGTAAAGATAAATTGTATGTACATCACAAACAGTTGTAGGAATGAATAACATTTTTTTTTAGAGTTCTGCAATTAGTGCTTCAAGTTTTTATGCCACATCTGCTGCTGCCACTATGGGAAATCGTCGTGGAAATTTGAAGGCACAAAAAGCAGTACAGAAACTAACAATAACTAAACATTCTGTAGCAGCCTTGTCTCCAAAGAAGACTGTAGATATGAAGCTAACTCTGAATCCCGCAAGCTTGCAGATCTGTCCCGGAGGAGCAGAGAGGACAGCTGAAAACACTCAGGTGCAACAGAGCAGATCAGCATTGACACATTTCAACAGGGAACAAACATCAACCAACTCTAACACTTACACAGGAGATGATACAAGTATGGCTAGAAGTCTTTTTTACTAAACTTCCATGTCAGCTCAGAATCATACTGTCACTTAATTTTTTCTCAAATTAAAAAAAGGCTCTGTAGTACAGCTGAAAACTCTCATTTATGTAAAGATTTAATATGCACACTCCATGTATGTGCACACTGTATATAGTATCTGACAACTACAGCAGTCCCTTACTTTACACAAATTTACCTTACGCTTATGGTATCTGCGGTTATAGTACATGCGCAGAATTTGCTGCATACATTTTCAACTTGTGAGACCCCCAAATTTTGATATCTGAGAGGTCGAGAAGCATCTGTGAGCTGTGATGTATGCCGGATTGAGACTTCTTTTCATGAGAAGAGAAAAGAGAGAGCAACCACACAGCCTTTGCCAGTAGACGTGTCCTCGATTTCTACTAATGTGGCTCCTAAGTGCATGGATCAGGGCGAACAGCCCAGTGCTGCTAAATGATCTAGTTCTGCGATGAGCTTTGAAGAAAAATGTAAAGTCTTAGATATAGTAAATTGCGTGAAAGACTTTGCAATAGTGCTCTTGGGTCAGTTGTTTGGCGTAAATGAATCTACAATTTACATAGAAAGCTATCCGAGTGAGCAGAAGAATGGAACGTCAAAGTCTCACACGCCATGTAACCTGATCTACATGGATGACATCACAGCAGTGAAGGTCAGATCCCATGGTTGGCAAGAGATGACTGTGCACATTTACTTCTGTAGCCCCATTTATGAACTTAAACACCAGCATCAAGGTAAACACCAATAACATTTTCTCCTCTAAAAAAACAAAATGCTGCAGGAAATGAATGTTAAGGGAACTAAGCTGCATAATGATCAAGATACTTGATACTTGAAAACTACCAATGACTACTACAACTGACCAATGAAAAACTGCAGTGCTGGCCACAGGCTCAGATAAGACCTCACGGTCTTAGATTTGTTAACTGGGTTTAAGTTTCTGTTTGCCATCTCACATGACAGATGTAATTGAGAGCAGGGGTGAAAGGTATTAGGAACATATTATCCTCATAGGTAGGTCTATGGACTGTAGAGCAGTTGAGGCTCATGATGTCTTTCGGGACCTCATCTTGTAGATTTTCACTCCCATTGTGAGACAGCCCTGTTATTAAGTTATTGACACCAATTTAAATAGATGTATGAACTTTAGTAATTTGCTCCAGGTGTTCATTTCTATAATGAAAATGAAGGTACTGCTGTCCGTGAGAAACGCTGACTGGTAAACCAGAATGAGAACAGATGTAATAACCTCCTGATTCTTTCACAGACAAGAAGAAACTTAAACAAAGAATTTAATTCTCACAAGCTGGGTAGGATGGCCACTCTGTTATCAAATAATCAACAAACAGCTGATAAAAACTAACATGGCGGCACTGTCCTCCTCGGTCACAGAAATGGCTGAGAGATTAAATACCCAGACAACTGTATGTTGTAAAAATATATAAAAATGCTTGATAGTTTATGGCCTAATGTGTTTATATAGTTTTTGCTCTGTGTTTGGACAAAAGCATAATGCTTATACTATAGGTTCATCAATACTAGGAAAATTTGGCATAATTTTATGAGTCTTTAGATAGAGAAGATGTATGCTACTCTTACTTTAAAAAACACAAAAGGACTTAAAGAACTGAAATGAAGTCTGATTATTCAATAAAACCCACTTCTTGTGACTTACTTTCAGGGTAACAGCAGCCGCCTTGATAATGAAGTCGTTGACTGACACCTTGATTTCATCTGCAAAACAAGCAAGGGGCCTGTTAGAGGTACAGGAAGAAGTGAGATGGTCTCTTCAGGAGACATGGGATCAAGCAGAGAAAGTTCGATTGATTAATAGCAGATAAAAGGGAAAATAATCAATAAAACAAGTCTTGCTTCTCCCCACAGTCAATACATTAACCGCAAACTTCAAATCCCTTCTTCCTTTCCATTCACATCTCCCTGTGGATTGCTGAGCAAAAGGTAAAGGGGATATTTTGAAGACACCTCCATCGACCTCCAGTGTGAATGAGACCTCATATCCCCTTTCCTGTTTTTCTTGCACGAGTGAGGGGTGGAAAGGTCAGCCTTGAGTGCTTCGGCAGAGCCTTCTTAAAGGGCACCAGCGCCTAATCGCCTCAAAGAAAGCAGGCTTCGGATTAACGAAATCCCTCGGAGTGCCGGCTTTTGTGCATGCTGTTTTTACCGGCAAAACTGTGTGGGACAGCCAGCAGATTAATGAGCAGGTCCAGTCAGACCACTTCGGAGGTCTGAATGAAGCAAATGTCAACAGCGCTCGGACCGTCACCTGGGGGACCCCCCTCTTCCCCATTCAGTTTCCAATGTTCTCATTAAAAAGGGATTGATCACTCTGGCCAAGAAGTACCTGGCAGGTTCCTGCAGAAATTCAAGTGCTGTTTTTAAATGCTCCCTGATTCACTCAAGATTAACACAAAAAAAAACTTGAGGATTTTATTCTTATCAATCATCTTATGTTCACTTTCCTCTCCAACACAAACCAATCTAAAAAGGATTTTTTAAGCCCAACATAATTGGTTATTACAAAAGCCTTAAGACCTGGTCCTGGCAATGACTGCTATTATATATGGGAATGATAAGGAACTTCAGAAAGGCTCCTCTGATGTATCCATCCATCAGAGATTCTCATCTTTTGACATGCCGAAAGCTGTACAGCGCCTTACGGAGAGTTAGCAGTGGAAATGTGGAACATCTCTCATGTTACTGAAAGCCTTCAGGCACTAAACAAGTCACGGGAGGTGCTGTTCTGGCAAAAGCAGAGAAGTCATGCCCTGTTGTGGCAACACTTTTAGTCTGGTTGGTAGTGACATCACTGCTTGCTGAGACACAGCCTGCTATTGACATGACCCAGATCCAAAACAGCACTTTCTCTTCCACAGGGCTCGACCTGCACTCTGAACATATTGGTTTTCTTCTCATCACATTGCTAAATATTTGTGACACCAAAAATTGCTAGTAAACATTCTTTAGTGTATTTTTTTTTGTGAAAGAACATTTTCAGCTACTGTATACAGAGTACCAGCACTTACCAAAATATTAGGAATCACCTGTCAAACAAAACAGATTGCTTTTGGCAGACAACGCATGATTGGCCTGCAGAGTCTGTGACAGGCTTTACCTTCCCAGGCCAGAACAAAGCTTATATTCTAACACTGGACACAGAGGAATGTGCAATTCAATCCCATAACCCTTACCTGTCATCACAACCTTAACTAAAGGCAATCATGTCAGAAGACTGGGGTGGGACTGAGAGGCAAATATTACAGCAGCTGAGAGAATATTGCACCTCCTGCTCAAGACGTTCTTAGTACTTTCAAAGGTTTAATATTTAAGGGTGAGGGTTCTCACTATTTAAACTGGTTTCAGACGCCAAAGACCAGTTCCAAGGTGACTGTGTGAAACACAGATGTTGCCTTATTGACAAATTAATCTGTAACCTGACAGAGGTAAAGATCTTGAACACAGAATTAAGTGCATATACATATTAAATCTCACACTCCAATAACCAACCGGAACCTGCTTGGAGAATGAAGATTCAGGTTTTTGTCTTCATGGTTCCTTGTTATATGCCTAAAGGCACAATTTGCCAACACAAGAAAAAACACATACTCATCCTGCAATGGCTGAATAAAGATTATTTTTCTATTATATTTAGCTTTACACCAGAATGAACACATTAGCAAGAGGAAACAAGAAATGCTATGAAAGACAGAAAGTACATCATGCTCCTTTTGCATGCCAGGTGTCTATTGATTCAAGAAGCTGAAAGAAAACAGTAAATCAGACCATAATCAGGCATGCTGAAATATTTTATTCCCACACAAACACTGTGCCTCCTAGATTTCTGGTTCCTCTTATTTTCCAAAGACATCCCTTAATTTTGGTTTCTGTCTGATGACACACTGTGTAGCTTTAACCCAGAACTTTATTTAGTTTTATTTAGGTTGATCTATTATTCGGTATAATACAAGTACTTTGTAACTCTTTTTAACATTGTTTCAGTCATCAGTCATCTAATGACAGAGATGAAAGTACTAATTGCCACTAAAAAGTACAAGATCAAAGAAAGTATTTACAGGGGTCTCAGGAAGTTCAAACAGTAAAAGGTGCTCATTTGGAGTACATGCACTTCAAATCAGCTCTGAAAGCTAGACTTAATCCTGGATAGCTGGCATCCACTGTGATTACTCACAGTTTACTTGTAAACAACTGACTGAACACTGATAGGAGTAGGAGGTAATTTGCATCTTACTGCAGAGTTTGCTGCATCATTCTACCAGCTCATGTTGTCTCTCTGTAAGGCACTGTAAGACATTTCCCATGGTTGAAAAAGGCACTCCCTGTTACAGCTTGTTAGGCAACTTTTCGTAGTACTTTTCCTCTTGTACACACACACTTTTCCATGTGCAGTACCCTCATTGAGGTTACTTTGGGACACAAGGCGGACTATATCATTTTCACACTCTTCCTCTATGAGCTAACTTCAATACTGAGGACTTCTGAGCCCTTCACTTATGGAACCCCGGGCTCAGAGTCCTGTACTCCAGACACACTGCCCTTGCTTTCATACCATAATCCCTTGCAACTCTCATACCTCTCGCTCCTTCTATGACTTCTTCTGAGGTCAGTTCCAGGTTCTACAAAACATCATTGGCAATGACCCTTTGCTCAAAGTAACCGGGGCTCAGTGAACCCTACTTCTCTTGATCTTTTCTCTTAATAGTCCCTTTTGAGACTTAGCGGTGTGATGTTCTCCACATGGTCATTCTTATTTGGTTAGACCTGCCCTACCGCCTTTATACTATACTTTATCTTGGACATCACGGTTTCACTCGTCTCACTTATAGCCTGTGGTTCACCTCCCTTGTGCCTGGACCATGCTGCCTTCACACTCAAACGCAACGGTGACAACCCTCACCGTCCCGTCGTCACTGCATGGCTTCAACCCACACCACCCTAATGGGCAACCTGTAGCACCCACACACCCTCCTTAGGGCAGCGCTACCCCTTAGAATCAATCAGAGCCTCGTAGACACAACTCACACATTGAGTGTTCTGCTGAATAAGTGGCCATTGCATCCCGAGCCTGCTAGCTCACAGCATACAGCCGTCCACTCTCTCACCGCAGACTGACAGCAGCTTCCAGCCTCCTGCTGCATTAGCGTCTCCCACACAGACGACACCAGGAGATTATCACATGTTGTGAAACCGTCAGCGTCAACAAAGACTTGCTCTATCTCACTCAGCTTCAGCCTGGTCACGCTCCCTGCCATGCCTCCGCTTGAGTTGGGAGGACACATTAAACACACACCAGCACCCTGTACACTCTGGATCAGCCAGATCCTCTGCCTCCGCTAGGTCTGCTCACTCCACCTCATGCAGGTGTTGCTTCCTATCAGTCCTGTGGTTAGCTCCGGACTGACATCCAGGCTTCTTAGGAAGTATCCTGTCTGCATACATATATACCGCTTGCCCACTCTTTGAAATCTGCTTACATTTACACATCCCCACATGTATGTCAGAGTTCAAAACTGGAAAAGGGAAAGGAGAAACTGGGCCTTATCACTGCTGCAGAGTGAGATAACAGAGGAAAATCAGGGCCGCTGGAGCAGTAGTTCAGGCACTTCCCACTGGACACAATGCATCCCAGTATTGTGATGGGGGCACGACAGGCAGCACCGTGCTGCAGAAAGACACACAGCATACAGCCACATTCTTCTTAGTGGGACACTTTCTTACAACCATATACTAGACATGATGTTTAGATGACACAGTAACCCCCCAAAATCTATAAGAACAGGGCACCTAATCAACTAATAACATGGCATAGGACATATTGCATTATTACATTTTGTTGTTTATTCAGTTCTTAACTGTAGCGCTGCAGAAGCTGTACACGCCTGTGGTGAGTAGCGCAGTCAGCTGCCCTGAGAGCATGACGGTAAGGAAACCACAGAGAGATTTTTCTCACATGTGCGGCTCCACATCTCTGCAGTTGGCTGGGGCTGGGCTCTCACTGTTTGCTACCAGGTACAAAAGTTGTTTTTTTTTCTGTTTAACTCCGGTCAATAATTAGCTCAACCAGGAACATGCAGGCTGGACTAAACCTTGAGGCCCTGCGTCAGAGGAATGGATTTGACACTGCAAACACGATCGTCATGTACCACGGTAGCCATGTTTTTTTCTGAATCATTTTGTCTTTCAGGTGGTATGATTACCAGGTATTATATAATGTTTACATCATCTTTGGCACATGTCAAATTATTACTTAATGAAATTAATTTTATTTGTTTTTACAAACGCATACTATACATACAATACGTATGCAGGTCTTAGGGTATCTCAAACAAGTGCTATGAGATAGCATACAACCTTTATACCGTATGTGTCAGTTCTTAAGTCTTTTTCAACATTTATTTTCTATTAATTAGTCACTACTGCTACCGCTTATTAAAATACTGTTTCAATTTTATAGGGAGGAACCCCTTTGGATGTACATCATTGCTTTTCTCTGCATAGCATATTTAAACAATGAAAAAGAAAATGATAAATTTGGCTGTTTTGCCGCATTCCTGAGGAAATCAGATGTGCTTTTCCCTAAAACAACCAGGGGTACATCAAGAGAGGCAGTGTAGCAGTGAATGGCACTGAAGTGAGCCCGAGACAAATGGAAGTAGTGTGTTAACGGCACCATTACGTTTTTTTCAAATTGGAAAATTCTGAGACAGTTTGCATCTTGTGAAATTGTTTTCTCACATACCGAACAATTAGAATTACATCAAACATAACCCATCTACCCTTTATCGGAAACCCTCTTATTCCTGCTGAGGGTAGAGGCAGCTTGAAACCTATCATGGAAGCATGGAGCCTAAGGCAGGCACCGTGTGGGCACAAACACACACATGTACACAGTGTGCTTTAGAGCATGTCTGTGAAAGATGGCAGTGATGTTTCTGGTTTTGATTCTGTCCACTACATTGTTTGGTGGATAAGCAACAGAAGCTGCACATCTGAAGAGAATGCGTTGCACCACATTGCAGATACAGTCTTGTAGGATTCCAATTCATTCCTCTTGCACAATATGCACAAGTCTGTGCCTGTTTACTTCTCCCAGAGCTCTAGATGCCACATGTCATTCCAGCTCATCTTGCAAACGTTCAGTGGGGCTGAAGTAGTGGGACATGAGAATAGTGTATCCATGCCATAACTGTCATATTCTCATCTTGAACAGCCAGAGGACGTCTGGTGCCACATCAGGATGAGCCCACAGCAGCAAGTGAGGTCACAGGTCACAATGAACAGTATTTCTTTGCAGTCAGGTTGCCATCATTCATTACAAGTGGTGTTCTGTAGTGACTAGGCGATCGCACTCGGACCTCTCCATTGATCTTGGCAAGGTATCGTGACCTGTGGTCTTCCAGATCTTGGCCTATCATTAATGGACTGTGTTCAGCCATCACTCACCTAAGATGGTGAGTGACAATGCCCTGACTTATTCTATCCTCTAGACATTGTTCTCTTGATAAGCAGGGCATATTGGTTTTTGGCATATTGGTTTCTTTCTGAGTATTACTTTCTTGATTTTGACAAAGCTTGATTTTCAACAGATTTAATCACCTCATCACTTCTGCCCAAAGATATTCTCATAAATGAGGTGATAAAAGTGCTCAACAAGTTAAATTGGTCTTGAATTATATAATGCCAAGAAAGCATCATATCATATAATAATGCCAATTTCTTGAATAACGCCAAGAAAGAGGCACTCCTAAATCCTAAGATAAGGTTCTAAATAGAGGCTGTGTCATTTTCCAGTTTTAAATAGGTGCTTCCCAGAATTGAGCAATGATGAAATTCTGAGCTTTTCAGTCATTTCAAATGAAAAATGGATCACAGCTGTGTTTACGTCAGAGTCAAACCCTGAATAATTTCAGAATCACACCCTTGAGGGCTGAAGGTTCTTCCTGAATGTTTTAAAAAGGAAATAATTCCAGGATAACTACTAACAGTAAAAAGCTTAAACAAATTAATTTATGTCTAAGTGAGGGCCTTACTGTTAATGACACACATTTTGTATTTTGGATCTTTTTTTAAATCACCTAAAAAAAGGTTTAAAAAAAATAAGTTCCAGCTATTAATTCTACCTGGGCCTTCTATTTTTATATTTGCATGTCCATAATGGTCCGCTGTTATATTTCACAGTTTTGTTTAAGTTGACCATAACATTGGTAAACTGCATTCTCAGTTCATGCTTAAGGTGATAGATATTTATTTTACATATTTATGTTTTAAATTCTACAGCTCAATAAAACCTGTGTATAACTTTAACAAAACCGGAGGATAGATGCATATTTACTCTCTCCTGATATGCTTTCATAAAAATGGGGGATCCTCCCATTTTTATGTGAGGATATGCTAAATGTTTATTTAGCAGGAGGCATTATGCCTCATCATTGTGCTAAAAAAATAGTGTAATCTGTTAAGCATTCGGATGTATTGGGAAGTGAACAACTTTCATTCACTCTTTTTGAACAGTGATTATTTAAAAGGCAAAAATATATTGAGGTGTCTTGAGTGCATCTAACTGAAAAACAGAAAACAATTGAACAATTCTGTCCCCTTCACCTGCGTTTACAGCTACAATTAACATTGTTAATTGTCACATCAGTCTTCTCCAATAATGAAAGAAGTTCGAATACTTTTATTTAAGCTAGCGACTTAAGAAATTATCCAATCTCTTAAAAATGTAAACATTACACACTAATGTAATAAGTAAAAAGGCAGATTGTTTGGTTTAAGAAGCCCAACATTAAATGTAGCAAAAAACACCAAATACAGAAACACAAAATAAAATGGAACACATGCATCTTGCATTTTCAATGATAACAATATTGTTGTAAAAACATGGCAACGTGTAAACAATGTTCCGAATGAGATTTTACTAATGCGCTCCGAGTATTAAATTGGCAATATCTATTGCACTGCTTTACCTTTGGCCAGCTGTCTGCGCAACAGCAGCACCGCGCCCACGTCACAGCTGACAGAGGCATAAGCATGAGGGATGGTGGATTTGGACTCCATCAGCCGCTTGGCAATCACACGGCGCACGGTGGAGGCTGGGATCTCAGTGAAAGTGCCCTGTGGAAACAACATACAGCACACTTTACAAAACAAATGCCACAGAAGAGATTGGTGTTTAGATGTCAGGTAAGAACACACATTCAGTAGCCGAGACTAACTCGTTTCTGTTACCTTTCTTCTGCATAAGAGAGGGATGAAAAAAGGGCGAGACTTAAAAGCCTCTACAAGAGATCAAATCTCACTCCCCCTTGCCTCTATTGCACATCCACTTCCCAAAGGCCACATAGGGACTACAGTGAAATTGGAACACAAATCTACGCAGCTGTTTGACAGTGTTCATTGTAAGCTAATTGCACATTTCAAAAGGCCTACATTATGGCATACTGCCAATTAGGCAAATTATCATCATCGGGGAAGCCTCCTCAGCCTGCAGACATGTCTTTTGGTGAACCTCATAATGTACTGACGCAAACTGACTCTTGCCCAATCCTGTGTGGGCCAAGTACACGACATAAAGTCCCTGTGGAAAAACCTGTGACAGCATGCTGTGTTAGCGATTGGGGCAAAAAAGGAAGATGAATTAAAACTGTTTTCATTCTAGTAAAATGATTTACAACTTCAGAATACTGTAAATCATACAGTATTCAGTCATGTTCAGTGACTTTCTTAAAAGCACATGGTACAGTAAAAACAAGAAACGTGGTATTTCATTAAATTAGATGTTTCAGGATGTTGACGTAATGACACAATTATCACAATTATAATTTCTAACTTAACGGGGACACAGACTTCGAAACCAGAATTCAGCTGCAGGTCTCTACGTCTCCAATTACAAAAAGATACAATATGACTATATCAGCTGCTAGTCATTGGTCCTCCTGCAAAATTAAAATAGTACCTGAGAAAACTTTTATTCCTTTTTGTAAAATTGAATTATAATCCACACAATAACAAAACTGAATATTAAGATATTACATTAGCTTGTATACCTGCACAACATACTGAAGGATGTCTTCAAAATGTGATAGTGGTTGGCCAACCAAAGAGCACTGCACTGTAGAATGCCTGGAACCAGATATGTTATTTTATTTTCTGGCAACCAGCAATTTGATACCTTATAATTTGGTATCTGGAGTGTTGCAGCAGCCGTATAGTTGGCAATACCATTTTGCTCTTACCTGCATTTATGTTACTGAAGCTGGTGCACAATGGGTGAAATATGAGGACACTGAAGGTAGATTTAGTCTTACTGCTGTTTTCAAAAAAACAGATAAGAAGCTCACCTCAAATTGTACGTATTTGTACATGTATATGAAACAAGCTTCTACATTTCATCTATTTTCCTTGCTGCTGCTGCTGTCTCAGTACCTATTTCTGAGCCACCCTGAGCTACTGCCAAACCAAGCTTTATTGGTCATTCTTAATTGCCTACTGCTGTTGTTAGTCACTGCTGCTACTGTCACTGGGAATCTCCTCCATGCCCGATTCCTTCCAAACAACATGACTCTTACACAGCTCTGAAGTGTTACTTTTCATGTGAAAAACATTTTTTATGTTTTTGATCTACAGATAGGGAAATTCCTCCCATCATTAGCCTACTAACTATACAATTTCCTGGAGAAACAAAAAGAAACTGTGCTTTGTTCACATTGATAATGTAAAACACAATCCGTTCCAATGTTTCTTTTAAACATACAGTACGTACTATACACATTATGCAACTATATAGGGGTGGAGTTGGTTATATGGGGATATGGCTATTTGTGACAGTTCTCTGCAGACCCTGCTGTACAGTACAAGACTGGGCCAGTAAATAGACAAGAAGTGGACATGGCTGAAGCTGATCACTGTGAGCTTGCAGCACAGTGGACAGCGAAACAGCCCTCAGGCCATGCACGAGAGAGTTAACTGTGCTCTTGCTGAAAGGAAAGGGACACAGCAGGTTTTCTGCTTCAGTAGCCCACGGCATACAAATCACCACAACTCAGAAAAAGAGCCCAAGGGGGACAAGCAGTGAAAGACAGCTGACCATAAATCCCCTTTGTAGACTGTTAGGCAACATTGATCTTTTCTGGGATTATACTAAAGATGCAGGGTCCAAAAATGAAAAACATGCTTCATTAAACTGTGCAAAGGTTCGTTAATCAGTGGCTGCACACTGATGGAAGCCTCAGATTCTCTGGGCATCTAAGGAGGCAAATAATAGAAGTAGAAGCAACAGCACAAAATCAAACATAAAATATTCAAGGACGCAAAAAAAAAAGGAACACAAAGATTCCTAAAAAAAAACAAAGTCTCCTAGGGAGACTCTTTTAAGTTATCTCCAGTATATTGGGCCTCATGAAGTTACTCTGGGAACATTTCACATCACACATCCTGCTGTGTTTTACCTTTAAGGTTCCAGACATGACTACTGCTCATGCTGGAGATTCACATATGACTGGAAATCACACAGCTGGAAAAGCCTGTCATTTCACATGCACAGCAAAAAGTCCACAGCATACACAAAACATGAAACAGCAGACCTCAACTAGGAGCTCCGATTAGAATATTGAAAAGTAGAAAATGTTTCAAACAATATTTACAGCTCTCGCTGGGTTTGAAAACACCCTGTCTCAGAAAACCCCCTGGATCTTAAGACTTCTTCAGAAGAATCACTGGGTTAGACTTTTCTAAAAATGGAATAGAAAACATGGAGTTAATATACACACTAACAAAAGCATTACTATTAGATCACTTATAGTAATACTTATTAATACTTATTAGTACACCAGATGGGATCTGGGAAATCCCATCATTCCAGGTTCAGCATTGCACATGGGAAAAGAGCAGCTCTCACAGCCCTGTCTTGAAATGGGCAGGCCTTCAACCCTCCCTGTTCACACTCAGACCCGCTGGATTGGTATAGTAACATTCGAACACCAAATCAAGAAGGGCAACTTTAACAAGCTGTGAAATTACACACATGTAGGAGTACCACTCTTTCCTCTCCTTTTTTTTTATGAAGAGAGTGTAGTTCAATATTATTCTCCAGTGCCCTCGGTACTACAGAGCAATACAGCAGAGCAGTTTCAAATGTGTAAACCATGCAGACCTCACGCTAAGCAACCTGTCAAAATTAATATATCACATCACATTCACAGATATGTGCTTTCACTTTACAGGAATCCCAAACTATCTACTTTGCTATGCAGAAATTCTGCTTCCTTAAAGAATTTCTTAAATTATAGCCATGTCATTCATATTTTGTTTTCAAGTAGATACATTCTTAATACTAACACTTCTGCTTAAACTTCAGTAGTGGTCACTATAGAATGTGACACCATGCTGGTGTTTTCCTCTGTTTTCTCAGTTTAGCCTTTGTATTTAAGACTGGTTGAAAATTCATTCTTTATTATGGTCCTAGGGTAAATCATCAGCAACACCCTGTTATCATGTGTGTTTACCTGCCTCTTAGGCTAGGTAAACTCACAAGTAAACATTTCTAAAGATACCCACTGTTTTAAGCTTTCTGAGTAAGGGCTTGAGTAGTGGAATCAAGAAGTGTTTCTGAGGTCATAAGAACTCTTAGAAAACAGAATGAAGCCTGTTTTGTACAGCTGGGTACTGTTGACCACTAATCACAAAACCATTTACAATCAAATACTTATTGAGGGACCTTTATCATTTAAGCACAGAGAGACAGCCGAGTCACAACCATAAGCAGAGTTTGAAGAGCCAAGGCAGATTGAGCAACAAATTATCTGTTTTCACCATTGCAGTCGTCACATTACTAAGCACACAAACAGTAGGCGGTGCTGTCTTTATGTTGAACTAATCAATTGAGCAGTTAACTTTGCTTTCTAAACAACCATAATTTTGTCCAAAATGTCATTACACTTAAGTGAGAGTTTTCCTGTGAAAACAGGCTGGTCTTGCTAAAAATAATGCAGTAGACAAAACAAGTAAACTGTTTTTTTATATGCCAAAGAATTAGGCAGCATACTGTAGAGAATTACAGAACAGTCAAGCACAGCTTTTATTGTTTTGTAATGTAGTTTATGCATGGTTTATCTGACTTTTATTGTATTTTCATAGTATGCGTCATTAAAAATCCCCTTTTGCTGACCCCTGTTCTAGAAAATTTGTTGAAGTAATAAAAATGATTCACAAATGTTAGGTTATATACCGAAAAATATGGAACTTAAATCAAGGGATGCTATTTTAAAATTGTTTAATGCACTAGCAAGACCTCTTTTAGAATCACATACATAATGTAGGTCACCGTGTTACAAAAACATACCGTAGTTCTGTTCTGGATTTCCCTTTCTTCATTCACTAGCTTAAGGGAATGTTCTACATTGACAGCCTACAAGAGCTGAACATTTTTAGTCTAAATCACAGAAGACTACGAGGGGACCTGATCCAAGTATTCCAAATTCCCAGAAGCACTGACAAAATGAACCATGAGCCAGAGGAGGCAAGTGGAAAATTTTAAATTTAAATCTAAGAACAGGAGGCAATGCGTTACCAGCAGGGTTGTGGGAATACGGAACAAGCTATCCAGTATCCATCCATCCTGGGCTTTCCTCAAAGAACTACTGGATGTGGATACTGGATGTGTGGACTGACATGCCACTGTCAAACAGTCTGAATGGCATCCTCTTATTTGTAACCATCCTTATGTTCTTATGTCATTCAGTCCAAATCAATTAATACGCATCTTCAATATCATCCAATCCAATTCAACCAATCCAATAACATTAAAATGGGACAAAGCAATGTATTACTGCTTGAGGTCATCTTGAAACAGGTATCTTGGTGTTTTTGAGAGACTGGACTTAATACTGTTAATCAGATAAAAACAATAATAGTTTTGCATCAGTAATCATTCATTACAGAGACCTAAAATTTCTTAAAACATAGGAGATGACCAACTTCGATCACCAAGTGTAGCATCCACTTGGGCAAATGGGTTTTCCTTAGAGGTTTCCCATCCCAGTACTGACCAGACCCAGTCTTGCTTATCTTCAGAAATCTGACCAAATTACAACATGTGAATCAGTCTTTTAAAGAATGAGTGTGTGAGTATCCACAGCACCACATAATAGCCTAATTTCATTTAGGACCAGAGGTACAGATACTCACAGGAGTACCGGGTTTCCCAGGAATGGAGACTGGAGGATCGGAAGGCCGAACTGAACCCTTCATGGGTGATACCACGGGAGATGGCTGAGGAGGTGCCGGAGAAACCGGAAGTGCTCTGGAAGCCACCTGCTCCCTTGATTCCATCTTCTTCAGCAGCTTCAGAGCATCTCTGTGGAGGGAGAAGAGAAAGAAGGTAGCAAAGGGTCTCTTCAGCTTCCCTTTATATCCGGAGGATAAAGGAAAAGGTAAGTTTGAAGCCAAGCAGGTTTGGTCGGCTGCTCAAAAAAGGTGAAAGTCACTCAAAGCCCAGCTCACTTTTAGTCGAAATCCAAATCGATTGTCTTATTAAAACATATCGGTCTTTCGGTTTTGGTGATGAATAGCTGCTGAGGATATAACATTGCCTTAAAATTAAGAGAAATGTAAAATATGGGCATGTTTCACTCAAAGCTGAATCATTTTAAAAGTGTGCATGATATTTTCCGGGTTGAGGACTACTCAAAAAAACCTCTTGAAAATATTTACTGACTCCCAACAAAAGCTAGTACAATCCACTCTAGGTTCTCAATAATTGTAAGAAGGGAGAATTGAACAGGCACAACTATGACTACTGGTGTTTACTATGACATTGAAGCGTTTTAAGCATTTCAATGGCTGTACTATGGTTGTGAGTATAGTTGAAGCAGTTTTATCAGCACCAGTACACAGGAATCAAAAAGAAGGGTGTCAATGAAGGAAAACCTGGCCATAGATGATAAACTTGCTGATATTAATCAGAAAAAAAAAGTATACTCCTTGAGTGGCCCAAAGTCTTGATTTGAATTCTACTGAGACTCTGTGGAAAGTCTTGAGAACGGCTATATGAGAGAATCTAAGCAACATGCCAGGAAGAATTGACAAGAATCACACCAAGCTGGTATGTAAAGTTGGTGGAGACCAAAAAGACTTGCAGCTTAATTACTTAATTACTTCCTGAATGATTATGCAATGAACATATTTCGGTTTCTTCATTTTGGTTAAAGCAACTTGTCATACCCTTTCTGAGGAACCTCAAAATAACTCTTGAAATAGGTATTGTGTCTGTCCCTATAACCAGGGGTGATCCACTTCCCCCTTTTTATAACCACTAAAAAATATTTTTTAAACTGTATTTAAACTGCATTTTCTCACATCCTACAAACCACTGATCTGTGAAACACATGAAACATGGATATGGTCTAAAAAGGTGCACAAAGTATCTCTTTATTCTTCATATAATCTGACTCAGTGTACAAATTCTAAATACTGCCTGTGAAGAAAAAACACCTGATCAATTTCTAAACTATCTGTTAGGACACAGAAACACAGTACACAGAAATTAAACTCATTTTACTTTTCAGCATATTTTCAGGTGAACATCTTTGAAAGAACAGAACTCGGGGAAAAGCAAGAACTCTAATAAAAATCCTTTACATTTCAAACATTTTGAGCCAATGTAGTTTTGCAATTAGAATATACATGGAAGCTTTTAATTGTAATTAATTCATCTTAAATGCTATGGGCCTTTTCTACACAACCATTCAATTATAGTGATTACATGGATAGAAGTGAAACAGCCTTCCACTCAGGACATGAATTCTCCACACCAACACCAGCCCATCAGTCTGTGACTTGCTGCACTTAAAAAATACAACTACAGACAACATTCATGCATCACAGTAACTGTTTTCTAAAGAGCAATTCATTGTTTATTAGCTAGGAGGTGCATCAATTGTTAGTTGCCTAATGTATAGATGTGCTTCAACAAGCACAGGTCTAGAGAGAAACAACCCAGTAAGTGTTAGAGGTCCCAATAACCCACTTTATGCTAAAGATGTGAAACACATGTAACTTAACATGCTCAATTAAGAAAGCAGGATGCTACATTGAGGTCTTTAATGGCTGACACCATCTGTTCAAAATTAAATCTAAATTGTTAATTCGACAGTCAGCTGACCAACTAATTTCAGTTAAATTGTTCCAGGTCTCTGGAAATTGATTATGAAATGCTTGCCTATAAAGCCTACTGGACTGGGGCTCCAGGACCAGACTTGGAGATGCCTAGAGAAGTCTATAGCATGGGAGCAGACAAACCTTGGGATTTTTCATTTCATTCCATTTCATGTGATGTCCAACTAAGCATTTTAGGATTAGTTTACTGCAGGATTCAAATCCTTGTAATGGCATTGAATGGAAGAGAAAAGATCGTCTTCTGCTCCTGTTGAAGCTCCAGTGCCTAAAACACTCAGTCTTTTAAATTGCTTTAAAAATGTGCAATCTTAGTACAATGGGGCTTTATGTGTTACAGTGAAACTATGTTGCAGAGCATTTTTTAAAGAATATAAACCAGGGTTTCCCAATACTGGTCCTGAGGACCCAAACACCTTCTCGTTTTTATTCCAGCTGAGCACTTAATTGAATGAATGATGAATGTTTGATCTGAACCACAGAAAGAAAAAAACACGTCCTGCAAAAAACTTACCACGATTAAAAGACTTATTCTGCTAAAAAAACATTCTTATTACTGAACTGTTATGACCAAATCTATGAATGGTAATTCGACACAGGATCCCAAATGTCTTGTGAATATGAAAAGTCAAATCTTAAAGTGTCACTTTTGCTGAGTTACAATTCAGCTTCCCATTGCAGAGTTAAAGTGTTTAAAATGACCAATGATTAATACGGTGACTACCGTGAGTGCAAAATAACTCATTCTTCTATGGAAGAATCCAAGTTATTGAACATGCATGTGCCCATCTTTTGGACACATGATAGGACCAAGAACCTCTTGTCAGTGACAGCACAGAGCAATTATTATGTACTCCAACACCTAGTTTGATTGCAGTACTACATAAAAAAAGAGCCTGCTAAATGACTCACAATACAGCGAATCCTTGGATGGAAAACTGCCTTTAAAAAATGCACCCTAGAATTCTGTTGCAGAATTTCAGAAATCTGGCAGCTCAATGTGTCCAGATTTGAAGGTTTATAATGTGTGTATTATCTGACATACATGGGCATTTATAACTCCATATCTCTTTTTATCTGAGCAGTCTGAAAATCTTCTAAAGACGACGGCAGACATGTTTATAGCACACACACCTTTCTGTGCAAGATCTGAAGCCAAACTCTAATAACTGAGCACATGCAACAATTCCTGTTAACCTGCAGTTTTTTATCTGCTTCATATTAGACCACCCACTTTCAGATACTTTGCGCCTGCTGTTGTTTTGAAAACTTTAACCTATAATTTATTTTTAGTCGCTTACTTTAAAATAAAAACATCGCAAAGCATGGGCTATAATTGTGAATAAAGACTCCAGCAGTCACATAATTAACTCCCTGTTCAAGTTTAAACACAACTTATAAAGCCCTTGTGAAGTATCTGTTCCAACAAACTGCACTATTCCTTAGGTACAAATAAACCTTCTGTTCAATCCTTCAAAATGATGTTCCATTTTGTTGAGCTACAAATGATGTACAGTATACTCATTTTTTAAGCAAATATTTGTAATAATCAAAATTTGAACGCTCAAACTGAACACTTTTAAAGGTGAAAGAAGTTAAAATATCATTTGGCAGTGTCCAGTCAGCTCCCAGTAATACAATCTATTAACTGAAATAATCATGTCATGGGCCTCTACATCTAGACAGCTGTTTGCTCAAACTCCATGTGTTTTGATAACATACAAGACATTGTTCTCCAGGAATGTATCAGTAAACCCAAAATTGAGATACAAATATAGAATGCAGCCAAAGCTGATGCCAAGGGATTGTTTCAATATTCCAATTACAACAATTCAGCAAGAAGTGTCTCTGGGATGCAAACAAGTCTGACAAGCAGGAAATGTCAATTTACATTATTTTACACAGATGTTCACACAGAAGAAAACTGATAACACATAAGTTATAGATTAAGGGTCCCACATCTTTTTAAACTGTTTTAGCAAATGAGAGTAGAACACGAAAACAAATAGCCTGAACAACACGATATTTGTAATACCTTTGTCATTTGCAATTGTAATACCTAGGTACAGTGAAGGAGACAAAATAAGGTCAGAGAATTAGAGACCAACCAGCCTCACCTCAATTTTATCTACACTTCTTAAAAATAAAAAAATGACAATTAGTACAATTCTTAAATGACAGCTGTGCTCTAGGAGATTATCTACATGGATTTAGAAGATCATGCCTAACTATCCTATCAGATGAAGTAATTAGCTCACAAGATCTCTTTAGGGTGTAAGATATATTGGCATGTTCAATAACCTTCTACAAAAAACTGAATGGAAGACAAATCCTTAGATGTAAAGCTGCAGAAATCTAACGTAGTTAAGAACTGACTATAAAGCAGAAAAAGGAAATCAATATTGGGAGTAACAGTAGACTGTCAATAAAACAATAATTTGGTTCTAGGACTGACTGCTGCTCTTTCCAAGAGAATTTACTGAAATTTAGAGATTACCTAAAAAAGGTGATATTGCAAATACTTTTTATATAGGAAATATTAATATAGAACTCATTGTATGCTCAGTCTGAGGCTTGAGTCTGATCCTTTCTAGATAAAAAACTGACTGAATATTAATTTAATACATTAGTCATTTCTCTGCTATCATCTAAAATGTTCTATTATCATCTCTGAGACACTGCTTATTTTTTATTGTTGCAATACTGATGAACCCTTTAATTTATTTTAGTCTCCATTGCTCCTTTTTATATTTATCCTGGCCTTTCTAATTAGCTTTTAACCCATGCATGCGCTTATTTTTATTTTTCTAAAAAAGTGTTCATTATATTTTTTAAATCCACTTGAGAAAATAGGTTATTATTTGATCTCCGGTTTGTCTCCATGCACTTAAAAATTATTATACAAAAACACAAGCAAAACTGATGTACTGTTCACCTTTCCTGCCAACCATCTGCACAACTGAATGTGATTTCATCTTTAGAATCAAGCATATTTTAGCAAACTTTTAAATGTTTAATGTGATAGTTGGCAGCTGCATCATATGACTAATGTTTTATGTTTTTCTTGTGCTTTTGTGAGAAAGTGTTACAAACCTTTTAATTTGTAACTACTGCTTCATTTCTACTCAGTTTAATTAAGGGATGCATTTTTAAATGTAGCTCAAAATTAAGAGCATTCAAAATCATATCCATGTTTTACACAATTAAATTTCATTATGTTCCAATCTTATGCGGTCAAGTACAGACTACAGGGTAGCTGCATTTTTCTTATTGGGCTGTGAAATGTTTTTACTGTAAGGTAAACGCCCTCTCCACTCCACTCTCCTGTTGTTTTCACAACAATGCTTGCACTGTGATTTGATTTACTGGTAGTACTGTGTACCAAAGAAACCAACTTTTTTCCCTGGAAATTCAATTTTCATTATATTTAAAACAAAAAACTGAAAATACACCCAAAGAGTTCAGAGATCTTTCTAAGCAATAACTCACTGAAAAGGCAAAATGCTGGAATGTTGGAATGGTCTCAGAATTAACTTTACTCTTGTCCAGATAAGAAATGTAAAAGTACATTTCCAGTTTCCAAATTTCCAGTTCCCCGAAAAAATCTGCCCATGCTAGAATTGGACAGATGGATCACATTTTAAATAAAATTCTGTTCATTATTTGAGTTGCTCCCAGCTATGGTACGCTGAAAATTCCCTGAATGACAATGAGTGAATAAATTTTTCACGGTATGCAGTAAGCACAGGTGTCATCCTTTGGCAGTGGATACTCTGGGAGACCACAGGTGGGGTGTTCATTCAATACCAGTGCTGGCAGGTGTACCAGAAATAAAATGTACAAAAGCTTAAGGTGGGTAAAAGAACTCAGGCTGTTTTAAATTAAAAACACTCCAATACAGCAAAGCTATCGGGCATATACTGTAATTGTACGACTTTAACTTGCCCTCGTCTTTATGGAAAAAAAAATGTTTAATTTAAGGTGTAATTACACGCTTTGAGGTTTAATTCTTGACTGTTTCTTCAAAATGAAATAATGACTCTATTCCTGATGTTACATTTATATAAACATACAATACATGTACAGAATAGCATCTGACGGTGAAGTTTCCTGCTTACGGAAGATCCCAGTATAACCTGGCATAACTCTTTTTTCACCCACACTATCCTCTCACATCCCACAGCCACAGAGCAACAGCTAGTTAGAAACTGCCACTGCCAAAGTAGGAGAATCTATCATGATTTTATTTATTCATCAAGACAAGTTTTTATGAGTGAGCCTGATGTGGAAATAAGCAATGGAATAGAATGTGGTTTAACTGTGCCACACATTACAACGCAGCCAAATTTCTCAGTCTCTCAGGATACAGCCTCCTGCATAACCTGCCCGTAAATACAAAATATCCCTCCTCTGCAAACTCAGGCTCAAAATCCTTCCAAGGGAAATGGCAACTGACCTACCATTATGTCTTTAGACTTTGGGAGGAAACTGGAGCCCCCAGAGGAAACCCACACGAACACAGGGAGAACACACAAACTCTACACAGACAGCACCCCCAGGAATTGAACCCAAGTCTCCAGTGCTGTGAGTAATCATATATTTAAATTAGTTAAAACAAACAGTGCATTTATAATTTAATGTTATAATTAAACCTTTAAACATTTTATAAAAGGTCCATATCAATAAAAGCAAAAAAATATATTTTTCACCTGTAAAGATCCCAGTTTGGAGAAGGCCAATTAAAAAAGTTGGGACTCCAGATGTCATACGTAGCAGGTTACTGATTTACCTTCATCACATGAAATCACCAGCAAATCAGCCTCAACATAGAGGAACAAACTATGCATCACTGTGTAGCTTGTAACATTTCAGAAGGTGAGTGTCTCAATGGGTAAGTAGTTTGAAGGGAGTGTATATGTGCTTCTTCATTCTCCCTGTGTGGGTAAAGGGTTCATCACCGCGAGACGGGATATCAACTGGGCGCGTACTTAATAATATATCATGTGTGATTCTAAATAAAGAAAAGGCTGGATGTCAGGCTTAAACTAAGAAAACAAAAAAGGTAAAAATGAGGGTACACTCCAAATACCTAAAAAGGTTGGTATCTTCACAGCTCATTTAAAAACAATTCAAAAACAAACTTGATCTCTGAGTCAACAATCACGGTGTTCAGTCAGATTCTGCCACTTCTTAGGTCTGTTCTGGGAAGGTACTTACAGCACCAAGGAAACATTACATGAAAAGTTTACTCATGCTTTCGAAAATGCTCTTTATTTAATCCCATCTGAAACCTGAAAGCTAATGTTTCCATCTCAGAAAGATTTTCCTTAGATACTGCAGTGTTAAATTATGTCATTTATTAAGCATGTGATTAAATGTGGGTGTAATATTTCCTCCTCACAGACTTCTCTCTCTTTTTTTTACTTTGGAAAGAAAAGCTTTCTTCTCTTCACACATGCTGTATGTGCTACGCTTCAGCATATTACAACTTAAATGCACATTTACGACATGGCAGGTAATGTTTTGTAGTTCAATACACTTCTTAAAAGGAAGAGAGCACTTCAAACATTCCTCCTCCACAACCCATTAGAAAAAACAAAAACAACACTTTCTCACAGATACCAAATTAATTAAAAAAATACTTTATTCCTGTATGACTGCATCACTGATTAAAATTAAAGGACTAAATACAGTACAGAATGGCGAGCAAAGAGGTTTTCTGTGGACAGCTGTGGTTCAAAGCAAGCTTTTTATAGTCTACACTGACAGGAATTTTAAAAGTGTCTTGAAAGGAGTGTGAGGCTGATCTGAATTTTAAAAAGAAGAAAGAAATACCTCCCCTGCACCGTCTGAAACTCTTGCTCAATACTGCCATCTGTTTGGAACAGCTTAGAAATTAACCTGGGAATTAACCCTTTTCACCTCATCAAAATAAAGGCTTCTGGTAGCTGTCACTCACTCCAGTGCTGTTCAAAATACTTACTGACCTAACCTTATTTACCAAACCAGTATGACAGAAATATTTACTTCCTTGTCCACATGTCCTGTCATGCTATGACTTCCATCACATCACATTTCAAGCTGTTGCACTTTAAAAAGAAAACTTCTCAGATAAAATAAAAACTTCACTCCGGCGACAGCTGGACTGATCTGCACAGCCCTCCATGGCTATCCAATCAGCCTGACAAACTCAGACGGTCTTGTCTGCACAGTCCTCCCATACTCTTTCACAGCAGAAAAAGTCAATAAGAAAGGATACAAACAAGAGAAGGGAACTCAGTAGGTGTTTGTTTGTAGCTTATTAAAAATCCCAGTGAATTGGCTTCTGTTCTAAAGACCCAACAGCTATGGCTCTTTCAACATTCCCAAATAACTTTGCTTTGTGTCCTCTGTTCCTTGCAGAAATTGAAATGGCTGTTTGGGTCCAGCTCTGGCAGCTCCTTTCAGGATTCTGAGCACCTAACTCAATCTCCAAAAAGTCCCATAACATTCCTAAATGTTTGCTGCTTTGCACTATATTTGAAAGCCTTTCTTGGGCCCTGTAGGTTTATTCATGCTGGTGCAGACTCTTTGCTTTATAAACTGCATTCCCATAAGAGCTTCAGATATCATACATTGCTTGTATGCCACGGCCTTTTTGCTTTGTAAAGATTAGTTAAGATCACTTTATTAGCCATATACAATGTCTTGTATTAGGAAAACAAGGTTAAATATGTTATTTATGTGCAAAAATGTATTATACTGTATGTCTGTGGACATAATAATGGGAGGTAATCTGTGTACAATTAATCTGCCTGAATGGTTGTTATGCTACATGTTATGTGAATTAAAATGTAACTTTGATGGCAACACCTGTGTCTCACAAGAAAAAAAATGTTTGAGAGAAAGGGTACTTGAAACAAAATAAAAAATAAAAATTCCAACATTTCCAAAGCTGAAGTTGTTTTAGTAAATTTTGTATCAAATATTTTGTATATTTTATTGTGAATCAACCTAATAAGATAAAGAACAGACCGCAACAGAATACCCTACAGCCAATCAAGTGTGAAGATCAATTAGCTACCAATGACCTAATGCACCAGATAGGACAAATAGCATCCTCTCATTGGTAATGGTTCTTACACTCTTTCTCAAGACTTTGTCTCTTCATAATGGGAAATCATAGTATCTGTACAATCCTTAAGACAAACATGACATATTTAATGTTTTTACACCCTGTGTTCCTTTGAAAAACGATCGATACCCGTCTGCTTGTGCTCTTGCCTGCACTCTGCCAGCCAGGGCCAGAGGTTCTGTACCAGCCCTGACGTACTGGGAGCACAGCAGTGAGGCTGCAGTGAGAGCTGGGATCTCTCAGGAGCAACATGCTAGACTGCAGCTCTCAAAACACAAACATTTGTGTATTTACAAAACTATAGATGAAAAACTACAGCCTGGAGCACAGTATTTTGCAAACTTTTCTCAGCATATAAAACAGCGTAAGCATTAATAATTTAACTTTTTCCATTGTTATTTCTCATAGTTTTAAAATTTAATATTTGCCATGTTTTTCTTCTTATTGTGTTCCCACATTTGAACATCTGAAATTTAAACCAACACTCTAAATCCTTTGAGCTTCTGACTGAGAAACTGCACACAGTGAGGCCTGATTCACAGTGCCGTTCCCAGCAATTCAATTTATCATAGACAGTACAGAGTGTTCCAGGCACTGTTGACAAAATGTCTGCTTTTCCTCACGGAGTTACAGCTCAAAAAAGCAGTTTTTTAAAAGAGATTTGAATTTTCTTTAAGGTCTAAGAAAGTTTTTTTAGTGTCAAATACGCTCTCTTTTTCCATCTTTTAATAAACCTTAGCTGATCATAAAATTCCTCTTCTCTGTTATCATGTTATCCTTTAGTATAGATTTGATTTTTTTAAACTGTTACACTTAATTTTGGTTTAATTAGGTGCATCTTTCAAAAGTGCTTTTGAAAATATCTGATATAAGGAATTCCTTCCCATGTACCTTTACTTTAACACCTTCCGTATTAAGGGACGAAAGTTAATCTTCATTCCTTTGCACAACAAATTATTTTGCCTCTGGCAAGTTGAGAAGTACAATTCTACAATTAGAAGTAAAGGTCATAAATAGTAATTTTCTGACTCAATCGCAACAACACACTGGGTGTTTGCCTTGTGCAGCTAAAGATGACCGAGATTTTCTTAACATGACAGCATAGAATCTGGGAAACTTCACTATGCCAAAGCCTAAGGCTTCCATACAGGTATTTCTGGGAAAAGAGCTACAATACAGCATCATTGTATCTCAATGGACAATGCCAAACCTGAATACGAAAAGGTCTGCTTTGCAAGACCAAGGAGTTTCGCAGGTTCATTTTCCCAGATAAGATGCGGCATTACGTGTGGCTGCCACAAATCATTAAAATGCTCTTTTCAATTATAATCTACCTTATTTTCAACCCCTTGTTAGATTCTGTTCTATGAGCACACCTTAGTGGGAATACCTTATGTGAAGGCTCATCACCTGAGCCTAGAACTGAAGGATGTCAAGTCAATGGGATGACCATTAGGGCCACAAAAGCAACAATTAGACTGTGCTTTAGCTAATTTGCTAGTGTTATTAATTGAATGGAGAATTTAATGGGAACATGGTGTAAACCATTGAGAGGACCTGTATAACAATTGTGGCATGTCATTCACTGCATGGGAGACCAAAATAGGTGGTGTTATCCCCAGCTGATGAGCCTGATTAGTTTTTGTGTAGTCATTCATACTGGGTTTGGACATGCTAATGTCACAGTATATAATCGGAGCTGCAAGGGAACTAGATTTTTTCTTTGGTTTCTGCGCAGCTTCTTGTCTGTGTTTGAACCTACACAATAAAACCAGGAACCATTTTGAGCCTTAACATCTTGTGTCGGTATTGCTCTTTCTATCTAGACTATTTATTCTAGGGAATCTGATGGGCTCCTGATACATACAACCTCCTGAGTAAAAGAAGTATTTTCTGATTCCAGTTCTAAACACACTCCTTCTTATTTTCATTCAGATCCAGGACACGTTGTCGGAAATCCATAATTTAAGCAATAATAGCTTAAATTAATTGAGCTCCTGGTAATTTTGTTAATACAAATATATTTTTTAACAGGAAACAACATGATTTTTATTAGTATTAGTCATCTTCCTTATCATTTTCACTCATTACTTGATTGGGAAGCTGAGGAGAATTCCCGACTATGTGTCATGATGACACAGAAGTTACTGTCCAGTAATGTCTTACTGTGGAAATGTAAATTCTGCTGTGCTTCCCCACATGTTCTTAATTCAATACCCTTTTGTTTTCAACAGTGTGATGTTTTCTTTCCAATAAACACAGAAAAAAAAGGTTCACCACATTGACAGCATCTGTAAAAGGTTATCCCATTAATTCATTGCAGCGTCCAGTAATTAATCTAAAACAATACATTTTACTTGCCCAGGTACAGTAATTTGGTCTAATACAGTAATCTGGCTTCCTAAGTCTTAAACTCCATGAGAAACCTTGAAGCTTGGTGGTTTCAGGATATTTGTCAGGATATTTGTGACTTTTGATAAAAAGGTAGATTTGAAACAGTATTTGTGGTACAGTACAGTTGCAGAAAATATGTAGACAGAATAATTTAATATTTTAAGAGTAAGAAAATTGCTTTAGCTGCTTTAGGTTTATAGGGTTATAGCTAAAAACAAAAGTGAAAATAAGATGATGCCACCTGCAGAAGAGATACACAGCCAATGTGACTACCAGTGGACTGGAGAGGAAAACTTTAATAGCAAATCAACAAATGGGAATGTGCCCTATAAAGGAGAAAAAGCCAACAATTACATACAGAAGTGGAACATCTGAAGTGGAAAGGAACACTTCACTTCAGAAGACCCTGCCACATTCCTGCTTTCAATATCCAGATTTAACATTCTTTAGCATAAGCAGGAACCTCTCTTTTCCAAGCACTGTCTTCCTTGAGGATAATATTTTATATTCCCATTTTTAGGTCTGTTTTCAAGTCATTATACCTTCAATCAGCTGAATGTAGGTCCTAAATTTTAAAATTTGTTAGTTTTTTTACTCTGTGAAATGGGCAATGTCTCTAGCAGAAATTCAAGCTCAAGCCAGTCTGGGAGTCTTTTTGTAGAATTAACTGATCGATTGATTAGCCATTCTGCTAACAAGACAAAATAAAAAGAACGTTTCCCTCCTTATGTAATACTGCCAACTCTGCTTTGTCCAAAGGAAATGAAAAGTTGAAATTATAGTCTAAATTAGACAGCTGAGGCGAACAGGGGTCTAATCATCTGGTGCTTCCAACTGTGACTCAGAGAAAAATTAACAGTAACTGCTAGAGACACATCTTTGATGTGGCTTTGAACTACTTGTGCAAACTGCTTACTCACCTTTCTCTCATCTGCTAGAGATTTATCATTTTTAAATTAAAATGGCCTACTAAGTAGAGAAGGTATATCTAACATTGGAGCCTGAACTAGCATGTGGAGAAAAAACTGAAGTGTATTAAAAGTACTTTATAGAGAGAAGTTTAAAATAATCGTTCATTATTTGCCAGTGTTTTGGAGCCATAACGCTGTGGCTAGGCAGTTCTCAGAACCTTTAATCTCTACTGTCATTTCTGTGAATTTCATTATCCACTTTCAAAACAATAAACCCTGTCAGATCTTATCTACAGTACATGCCTGGCAAACAGAGTTGAAATCTATTTCATTCGACATAAACATATTATCAGGAAACTGCTGGCCATTCTGCTCAATCCACAAAATTATCAGATTAAAGACTTATTTTGTCCAATAAATTTTGCAAGTATTCATATAATATACATAACTGGATGTTTATATATTTCTCACTTAAATCTACTGCAATGTACACCACATTTCAGATCCGGGTGATTTTGTTGCCTTCAGGCTATCAGCTGATCCAGCTATATAAATATATTAACTGGAGGAAAAGTGACCAAAGTGGATAGGGACTTTCCAAAACCAGGTTCTAGAGAACAGTGTAGATTTTTAGAATGTGTCTTTTTTTGTTAAATTAACAGGATTACGTTATTATCATAATTACAGCCTTACCATCTCCAAAATCTGTACAGTACTGATTCTCAAATATAAGCAGCTATTACGATATGCATTTTTTATTTAGCGACCCCTCCCCCCAAACACTTGCCCATACATACACAAAAACAGCAGTACTGGCAGTTTCTAAGGCTACAGCTGAGCAGCTGGTATCCATAGAAACAAGGACTCCTTAATAAAATAGCACACAGGTCCCAGTGGGACAGCTGACACTGGCCCTCACAGAGTCAGCGAATGAGAAATTATCTGTCCCCAGCCTGCTACTGCTGAGATGCGGCTATTAGAGGTGATATACAGACTTCACAGTTGCCTATCAAGGGATGCTGTTTCAGGTAACACCACCAACAGCTCTGAAACATAACCTTCTCCAGAAAATGTTACGTCTCTGTGGAAACGAATACTGCACTGCCAACTGCTGGTGTCTATCTTAAAGGCTTTGCATTTTTTATCTCTCCCCTTAAGAACCTAAAAACATTGGTTTACCTCACTCATTTAACTGCCCCAAGAAAACAAAACTTTGCATTAAATTAATAATATTTAAACCATAATTTCCTTGATTTCTCCCACACTCTTCTGAGACTGGAGCCCAAACTCACTCCTTGGTGATGATCCCATGGGGTCCTGATGCTGTGGCCAGGCCAGGATCGAGCCCGTGTGTGTCCAGGATGTGTCGGGCAGCTGGACTCATCCTGTGCCTAGAAAACAAACATTGACCACTAGCGTCAAGGACACGAAGCACAAAGAGGAGGGATGTCAACCTGTCACGAGGCACAAAGGCAACAGAAGAACACCGAGCACGCCTGTGCTTGGAATTGTGCACGCTGTGTGCTTGCTGTTGTTCTCATGCCACTAAATGAGAAACAAAAGGACTACACAGAAATTGAGACCAATTTTACTGTTTAATTGCTCAAAATCTAACAAGCAAGTGTTGGGGTTTCAAAAGAAACTGTCCACGTTGCAAAACCCTGTGGTCTTCTCAGTTATGTCTTTGCCAGTTCTACATTTTTAAACAATGCAGACTGATTTACTGTGGGTGGCACACTGTCAGCACGAGCCCCGGGTTCCACTCCTAGGGTGCTTCAATCCTGGATATTCTATGTTCGTGTGGGTTTCTTCCGGGTTCTGTGGTTTCCTCTCACAGTCCAAAGACTGTGCTTTGCTTAATTGGCTTCTAAGAAAACCAGCGCTGGTGTTTATGTGTCTCTGTGTGCCCTGTGATGGACTGACATCTCGTCCAGGGTGTATCCTGCCTTTGCTAGGATAGGCTCTGACCCTGCTTTGGAAATACAGCTAGAAAAATGAATGGATAGATTATTCATTCTAGACATAGGAATGTGTCCAACTCATGCGTGTAACTGAAAAAACAGATATAAAAATGCTGGAAGAGAAGGATATAATTGTACTGGCAGCATTTATACCCATATCATCAATCAAATTCAGTTAGTAAAGCGCATTTTGTCCCCTGTGTTCAGCTGCCTTTGTGATATATTAACCCTCACTGAAAATCCTCCTACAAAGAAGTAGCCTAATATTTCAGAGCATTATTATAATGAAGAATGTTTTTCGTTTATAAAACATTTATAGTTTAATAAAAGAAATAAGCATCAGCTATCTGTTACATGACTTATCTGTAATATTGGTCATTCTGTTTCCAATGATTTTTCAAAACTATGGATTCCTTTACTTATTTTAAGTTACATACAGCAATCTGTAGAACTGATTTGTTTTCAGGGATCTCTGACTATCCTTTAGTCAGGGGCGTCCAGGGGTGTCTTTTTCTTACAAAACCTGGCTGCCCAGCAGGATCAAACTCTACAGCAATGTGAGGCAGCTCAGGTTTTATGAACAGCTTGTCTTAAAAATGTCATTCTCGCACCTGCTGGAGCGCTGTAGGATGTGCTACCATTACCACAGCAACCATCAGAGCCACTACCCACTTGCCTATCTACTGGTTATCGTGACTACCTGCTCAGGCAGGACGTCTTCCACCTGCATTCCATTAACAATCACGACTGTATCATGAGGAAAAGACTATTTAAGACCTGCCTGTGCATTACTCTTGTCTGGCACTGGACCTTAGAGAACCTTAGATCTGTTCTCTAATCTCAACCTCTCTGCTTGTGCAACATTCTGGATTTCTGGCCTTGCTTTGTCCTGACCTTGCCTCCTGGACTCTCGCTTTGTGTTTGAACTGTGATTTCTTGGCACAAACTCTTCTTTGCTCTCAAATATGCTTTGGACAGTTGGTCCTGCTGTTTATTTTGCTACCAGAGCCAGCCTGCTCCTAGGTTCTCTTCATGACCCTCAGACCACTTCTTTACTCTAGTAGGAGCAGAGGAATTGCATATGAAAGACAACACTGGGTGCTGGGTGGTTTTCAATTGTGAATGTTGGGGGTATGTTAAAAAAAATGATAATTTTAACTAAATAGCATCAATAGATCCCTGCTTCATCAGAGCATGTAACTAGCAAATCCCGGAAAGGAATACATCTGCTATGTAATAGTTTTATTCCTTTGTTCCAAAAGCTTTAAATCATCACCAGCGTGATAAAGACTGAATAAACATGCTTAGTAACTGAATTCAGTAACTGGGTTCTCAGCTTTAAAGTAAATAAGAGAACCCTGCATATCTTGGGGAGTAGGTCAAATAAGCATAAATCAAAAATGTATCATGAATCAAAACTCTAACTACAAATGACATTTGTCAATACCAGTTTTACCTTATGACCTCTTTTGCTTCTTGTCACTGACTAAGCAATTTAACAGCAAATGGAATTTCCGCACCAGGATATCACAATCAATTCATAGAGAAACTGTTGGGTTTTCTGACATCTATTACATTAGTCCACGCTTGGTTACTTGGTAATAATTAATAAACTGAAATCTTTCTTGTTTGAACACAGTGCAGTTTCACAGGTATTATGTCGCAAATCATGTCACCTTTCAGAATAATCACATTCAAAGAATTAGAATTGGAAGGTAAATTAGAAAACTCTACATCCCAAAATCTACTCCACACTAACCAAAAAAAAAAGGAGCTCCTGGCTGACATAGCCAATGCTTGAACTAGGGCTATAAGTGTGTCTGGGTTTCCTCGAGAGTGCGCACCCATGTTTGAACACCAATCCAAAATGGAGGACCTAAGCCAACCACTGCATCCTTGGTTTGCCATGTAACAGTGACCTGCCTGCACCCAGCAAGACTGTGGCCACTCCTCCCAGCGATTCACAGTGCTTCACATTGTCCTGTTAAAAGCAGTGGAGCTTAAAAAGACAAGCAGCCCAACAGTGGACATATTGGAAGAACACACAGTTTGTCACTCACCGTGTGTCGGCGTAGGTGTGGTGTTGGTGAACCAGCATGGCAATTCAAAAACTCGGAAATATATCAGAATAAGTTACAAATGAAAATACCAGAAGTGACACAGAAAGACAATGGGCAAAATGAACCACATAAAAGATGGACTAAGACTTACTGTGCAGTGCTGGTCGTGGTCTCTGCTCTGTGTGGGACCACAGGAACTGCCCCAGTGAGGGGTGAAGGGGACAGTGCTGGGGGAGGGGCAGGGGGTGTCGGGCTGCTCTCCTCCGCTGGGATCTCCACCTGCTTATAATCCTGTCCCTCCTCGACCATGAGGGCGATGAGGGTGCCCAGACGTACACTGCGACTGCCTTCCTCTTTCTGTGGAGAGACAGATATGGTAAATGATGGTCCTAAATTTGATGATGATTACCTACTCCAATAGATGACGGTCTAGTCAATGGAATCAATGGAATTTTACAGTGAAACCGCTCCGCTCTCGTCTGGGTATTCTCAGACACACTCACCAGGTTCTCACATGAACCACCATTTGGCACAGCACAACCAAGACTTATTTCTTTTTTATAACTGGCAGATCGGATCAAAAAACCCGTAACTAGGTAACACTGAAAGCTCCGTTTGGCATTTGTGTAAAAAAAAATCATAAAAGATAACACATTTTCACTCCAGATTGAGCTCATTCTGTTGAGATTGTGACTTAATATGGACTTTAATCTGTCTCTTCAAAGCCATGTCAAATATTGGCCTCACGTTATGAAGTGTAATATCTGTTTTTCAGAGGTCTCATAATTGCCTGCCACTAGCGGCACCACAATCTGACCCATTCCTTTCTGCTACATGCAATAGTTCTTCTGTCAGCTGAAAACAAGATATAACAGTATATAATATATAATATAGCAACAGTACATTACATAGTACATAAGAGTAGCATAGTATATAATAGTATATTATATATATAGTATATTAAACCAATGTTTAATAACTGTAATATCTTTTTATACCACAATTATGAAAGAAGGCATATTTTCTATTCAGGCACGGTGTAAATTGGTACAGTATCTAATTAAATAACTCCCTAGATCAAAGTTAAATGCCTTTTTTTTTCTTAAACGTGCTTGAAAGGGGTGTTTAAAATGCAGAACACATTCGACACCATTTATATCTACCTCCATCAAACATGCTGCTTGGCACCCCTGCTGTGCTGTCATGTTTCCTCTCAGCTCCATGCCCACAGCTTTTTGTCGCTCCATATTGCTCGCGTTCAGCACCCTTTCCCAGCACTCCCAGGGGACACTTTTCTCATCTTATTCCCTGCTTCTCCATTTATAGCCCCTCTGAACACTGCACACCTGCACACTGGACACTCTCTGCACAAGCAGATGCCTCAAGGTGACATTCTCTTTTTAGCTGACCATCCCAGAATCCAACAGGTAAATAACCTCCGAGATGCTGGGTTAAAGGACATCAATATCAAATTTAAAGCACACATAATCTGGTATCTGGGAACACAACATAGATTAAGATTGATTATGACTGTTTTTAAACTACACAAACCCTAATTAAAATTAATCGTATTATCTTTTCTGTCTATGCCAGGGAGGTTTACAAAGCAAAGATGGAACTTAAGTATTTAGGATCTTCCTTGGGGGGCTTATTCTCTTCACTTAATCACTCCATCCTTTGGTGAGCTAATCATTCTAAACGGGGTCTGCAGTACTCAAAAGGAAAACACATCTGAATCCCAAATTACAAACCACCAGATTTTCAATCAAACTCTTACCCATTTCTAAGCAGAGCTCTTGCCATTTTCCAAACTGTTGTGAAGAACCTCTTGAGATTGGCTTCAGTTTCCCTCCACTCCCTCTGCCAGTGTAACAGCAAACCCATACCCACAGCACATAATTAGTAACTCAAAGCAAGAGTAATTATAGTGAGTATATTTATAGCGTGGCTTAATAATGCATTCCCGTGAGGTGCTCTTGGCACAATGTAATTTTTTTAAATTATTGGATTTTTCTACATGACAGAATGCCATATTGACAATAAATCAATCCATTCTGCTCTCCCAGAGCACAAGACTGCCATCATCTGGCATGAGGGGGTGACTGAGGCTCCAGCACCTTTCAGAGTGTCGCCACTTGGGCTTCGCAGGTCCCTTTGAATTCACACAACTCAGCTGCTTTTTGTTTTGATTTCTATTTTTCTTTCGGGAAAGCATAGCATCGCCTGAATCGTGTCTGCGTTCTATCATCTTCCGCATTCCGTTCCGATCAAGTTAGCACGGTGCAACATGAAAGAAGAAACACTGTAGTCGTCGAGGAAGAAATGCTAGAAAACACTGCAAGTTATATGCTACTGTTGCACAAGGCTCCAAGAATACTTTGTGCTACAACATCTGCCTCTTCCTATTATAGATGTTAGGCTGTTTGACGGGGGCTTCCATTCTAACTAACCTGCTTTGGCATCACATATCTTACAAATAGACTTCTGTCAGATATCTCTCAGGAGGAAGTGTGATTAAGGCAGCAATTAATCATCACACCAGCCCAGTAATTTCACCCTAATTATTTTCCTGGACAGCTGGCAAAGTTATTCATTCCTCCTTTTTCCACGCAATATCTTATGATGTATAAACTTTTAATCTACCTACCACTTGCAGATTCATGAATTTTTTGGCACCTTAACATAGAGCAGATGCAATCAGCTTCTGCCAAACAGCTTCTATCTTTCTGTTAGGTTGGAAACATGTTACTTTCACGCACAAACATGAACGTTTGATATGAGTCAGACATGATTTTATCAGCAAAAACAAAAAACAGAAATGTAGGAAAGAGAAACTGAAAATGTGCAAAGCATCAGTACAGTATATGCAGGGATCCCTTTTTCACATTCAGCATCTTAAAGACCAAAGAAATAGGTCTATGCAATTACAAATTCCAGTTATAGATTAACAACATCACAGAACAAGAAGATAAAATGAAAAGATTTCCAGTAAAGAATGTGATACACTGTTAACACGCAAACCAAAGAAAGTTATTATCTGCAGGACTACCCTGAGCATTGACGTAAAGTAGCAGTGACACACAAGCCTGATGAGAAATTGGAAAGACTGTTGTGGGATCTTCTCCCACATGTCCTGTGGAGCAGCAGCTAGCTGGTGAAGGTCGGTGGGTTGTTTATCTGCCTCTGATGGCATTTACTGTACATGCCGGTCCCACGTATGTTCTGATGGATGCCCCATTTTTGGGTTTGTAGGAACATTTAAACATTTGTTTGCTGAATGGGTCTGTCAGTATACTAATCAGCAGTAAGGCTATCCTCGATAAGTACTAAAGATTATTAACATATCTCCACACTTCCACAATCCCTCCAGCTGTATGAACAATCCAGCAGCCATCATTCGTGTTAAGACTACTTTCAAACGAACTGCCCTCCATCATGTTTGTAAAGAACAAAACTACATTGATCACTAAGTAAACACTCTCACTGAAGCCACCTCATATGTTCACCGGCCCGCAGAAGGTAGTAGTTTTTCGTCTCATCTCTCATCATTACCAATGAATAGCCGCCAAATGTCTAGACAAACAGCCACTCTACTGATCCTTGATTCATTCACCCACATATTTCTCACACTCTCACCACTTCAGTGAGAAAGAGACCATGCAGCTGGAACAGAAGTCGGGATGGTGTGGTGGCACTCTGACATGCAGAAGTTGGCCTATCCCTGAAAGGGCAGTGATTCCTCTAGACCAGGCTGCTAATTGTTGGAACTCATTCTCCAGGACACTTCTCACACAGATAGACTGCTTTTAATCATACTGACACTAGCCAGGCAAACTTCATTACTCACATGGGACATAGCCCTATCATTCTCTGTCCTTAGGTTCATTTAATGGCTATTTATATGCATTCTTAATTCACTTTGGAAATTTGAATTAAACTCTAATACAAAACACTGAGCACATTGAGAGATCAGACCAATGTATTTCACTCTCTCAAAGAGTAGGTCTTTATAATGCAAGCTTTATAATATGAATGTTCAAACTGAGCTTTTGATATAAAATGCAGACTGCTGCATTTGCTTTGTGTTTCAATAGAAATATACCGTATGTCAGAGTCAAAATCTTATGCATTATCTAGAAATTCATCCCTGCTTTGGGGGCCGATAGTGTCACTGGTGAACTGAGATATACAGCTCATTCTTCTCTGGTTGAGGATCTTACAGCAACTTTATACAGATTATAGCCCAATAACTGCCCAGATGGGGCATGCCTTTTATGGGATAAGGAAGCACTTAGGGAGGCTGGTGTCCAGTCCTCTTTGTTCACCATCCAGTCTTCAAATTTCTTCATGCTGTGGAGTAGCACTGCGTACTTCTCTGCTGGTGAAAAAGGAACTCATTTAAGCTGAAGGGCACACCTTTTCATTTTCTTGAGATTCATTATCAGCTCCAAAAACATTGTTAGAACTTTGTCATTAAAATAAAGCAGAATCTTGCTTAGCAACAACACTTGGTTAGCAACAGCAGAGCCTTCAATCCACGTGATGAAGAGCAGCATCATGAAAATACAAGACAGTCCCTGTCCTGTTTAAATACATAATGTTCTGAAAAACTAGTGACAAGTCTGAGGCATTACAAACTGTCTTTCTAACCCTGACTAAAAAAAAAGAAGAGAAGGCCCAACAGAAGTACCATCCATTGTAATGCAATGCCTTATTAATGCAGCAAGTTAAAATATTGCATTCTTGGATTGCGGAGTTTTTTAGTCATTTTTGTGACTTGGACATTTTCAGGTTTTTGTACTTTTTAAAAACTTATTGTAGCCTCTTGAAACACAAAATACATTTAATAAACTTTCTTTTATTACATTAATCATCATGTGTCATGAATGATACTTTACACTTGACAGTAATGTACTTGCACTTGTGTTCCCATTCTACTGATGTACGTCGACAGCCATAAAATCTTTGAAAAGCCACTAAAATGAGCATTATGAAAAAGAAATCTAATAAAAATTGACTGACAGTTTTAGAAGCATGTGACCATATGAGCTATGATGTGTATTTTTTTCTGAACGATTATCACCTGCAGCAGTGCAAGCACCATTCTGTTGGAGCAGCAGTAAGGACAACTTCCTCTCCACTAAATCAAACCCTTTTCTAACAGCTGTAGTCTTTTCTTCACCTCCTTTCATCCCAGCAGCCCTGAATCCCAAAATTACCTAATATTCCCTAACCTGCTGTCGGAGGTGGTTAACTAAAGACTAGATCTCCAGCTCTTTAACTGGGAGATCTAAGCCACTTGGAACTTACAGATGGCTCACAGCTATGGTTACTGTCTGGACAGAAGGCAGATTCAT